TTTTTAGAATTCGTTGTTTTTATTTTCGCCATTATTAATTCGCAATTTTTACATTCGCGGTTATTGTTTCGCTATGTTGGCCGGATACTCAATTACTCAACATGATATGAACGAGAGAGAGAGTATTGAAGTATTTTCGGTATGACTCAGAAATCACTATTTGACATAACCGTTCCCGTATTGCCGTATTGGTTCCGTCGGCATGCGTGCACCAACGTGTGTAGTATACCCAAGTGTGTATATTGCTATCTCTAGATACGATGTTATACATTTGTAAACATACGGTTTCCGTACAAATATTGCTAAGATTTGTTTTTCAAATAAGCGTACAGAGAATAACAACGACACGTTGACGATATAATTATTGCACTCTTGTAGAACATTGAAGTTCGACGTAAAAAAAAAGAGTCCCTTGATAATTATTTCGTCCAGTGCACGTTGAAACGAACCTGGAAAACTATTAAGCCCGTGGAAAAGGCTGTAGGCTGTATGTGCTATAGTCACTGCGGAGTAATATTATCCACGCAATATTGGTGTATCATAATCTTGCTGAGGCGAATGTTTGAGTTAGGTTGGATTGTAAAAAACAATGCGTTTTGGTGGCGTATTTATGGGGGGGGGGGGGGTGGGGGGTTCCCCCCCCCCCCTAAAAAAAAGAAATAAAAAAAATATTTGAAAACGTCAATTTTTAAATATATCAGTAATATAATAATTGTAGTTTGTTTATTCAATAAAGTATTAAAGTACAATGAAAAAAACATATACATAAAAAATATATTAATATCGCTAATAATAAAATTGTAATTAAAAAAAAAAAGGAAATTCTATGTTTTATTAAGTTATAATTTTTTTAATTTGTTAGTTAAAAAAAGTATTAAACGATCTTTATTTATAAGTTATATTATAATATTAAAGAATCTCAATTATGGACGAAATAATAAGTGTTATATTATTGTTATTTATTTGGGGGGGGGGGGGCATAAATTATATACCCGGAGGTGCTAAATTTTTAAATACGGGCCTGGTTGTCAGTATGCACTATACGTCTATGGGCAACATAAAGTAATATAAAATACGATTAATACGATCATACGTTTAATTTAGTTCGATTTCATTAATTTATTTTTATTTAATTTTTGAGCCAGTGAAATGGAGCCAGTGAAAAAAAAAATTTCAAAAATTTCAGAAAAGACTTAATGGCCTTGCCATGCTATCTACTTATCGAGATTTAGATAAGCCGATGAAGTCATGATTTGGCATGTAAAAAGCGATAACTAGAATTTATAATATAATTTGTAATTTTGTTATAGTAGTTTGTCAATAGCTTGATTTCAATAAGTTAATAAAAAACCTAACAATAAGTTGATAAAGAGCATTTTATGCTGATTTATGAAATTATTTCACTATAAGGTATGACACCCCACACCCCAAAAAAAAAAAAAAAAAGTTTCTAAATACGCTACTGATGTGTTTTTTCTACATTCGAACGAGAAAAAAAATCATATAGATACACTGTTAACCTAACCGAATACGAGACAAAAACGAATGAACCGCGCATGTTTGTTTAACGAAACTGGTAGTAGGTGACTGCACGTCTACAGATTTTTGTGAGCCAAATGCAAACACACATACCCTAACGCCTCCGAACACAAACTCGCATCGCACGCACAGAATGTATGTATATACATGTTAGCGGTAATGTATGTAATTCGTTAGTATTCCTAGTTAAAATTTGTATACGTATTCGTTAATACGTATAAATTACATGGTTTTATTAGTTAATATATAGAGTACCAGTTGGGTTTTCGTTAATGTATGTAATTTATAGTCATTGTATAAGACCACGACTGCTTTAGGAACCATAAACGGTAAATAAAAACAACTTTAAGCGAGGTCACGATTCAGTACATGTACAAAAAAAAGTCTATTGCGCTCAGTGACGTGCCGTCGCAGATGAAGATATTTGTGTTCGAAAGGCATCAGGATCTCAATCACAAGGTAATGGTCGAGGGTTTTTCAAGTGTCCATGCCAACAAAAGTGTATTAGTAAACGGTGTAAACGGAGCACTTTGTAACTCTAAATGTCACCGAAAAATTAATGTACTTACTAATGAATAAAAATTATACTTTAATAATGTAGGATGTGTTTAAATTGACTTAATGTTGACATTTTATTTTTATCTCAAATATTTAATTTGCTTAATATTTTAAACATTTTAATAATTCCAATAAATTAACGTTGTACAAATCAGAATAAACTTTTTATAAACGGATTTAATAAAATTTTATAGACATTAATTATTAAATATATAGTCAGTGTGTAGAATAACTTACTGAAGTACGAATTTTCGGATTCGTTCAATAACTAGTTATTTATTAGAATTATGGAATTGTGTACCTACGTAAACGCTAACATACATGTAATTAAACGAGTTCATATTAGTCCTCTAAAAAGTAACACCAGTGCACCGTTATTACTGCGGTAATATATAGCGCATTAGATAATAGTATATGTGACAATTGAGATGAACTGACGTGTAACATTGTACACATCTCGTTCCATCGTATTTTTATAGCTCTTTCTCTCCTTCTCGTCTGCCGTTTCTTTTCCTACGCCTTATCACTTAGAACTATAACTACCGTACGTCACGTCCAATCAAATGTACAAAAAAAAGACGGCATCGTCCTTACGATTTTGTTCCAGCCCTTGATTCCGTAATAGCAGACGGACTGCGTGTTCAAAGCGTAATACAACAGTCGCGACTGCAGTTTCATCGGTGTCGATACAACATATAAAGCGTGGACAAGGATTTTAAAGACCGCATTAACAATTAACGCGCGTTCGCATTTCGGCGGCGGTCGCGGACGCCGTGGATGGTTTCAGGGGTTCGACTCGATGATAAGAAGGGTAGTTGGGGAGTATGCAGATGGGTTGGAGAAAGGCAAATACGTACGGCGGACGTAGTAGAGCTATATGATACGACTACTACTGCACGTGCGTATACGGGTAGGGAATACGGTGGAGTCTAGTTTATTGCACCCGCGTCGTAAATATTAATAACTGTACACGGCATTATACATAGGTAAGTACCGATGGAAAACAGAAAAAGAACAAAAAAAAAAAAAAAAAAATTATTGACGGTTTGTTTGTCCGGGCGCGTACGGCGATACACACGTCTCGTGTACATTGTACCTACAGAGGACGCCGTGCGAAGGGATCTAAAACGTGTGTTGTTGCGACGGTCGTCACATATATTTATCGTGTTTGCTTAACGGTTTAAGTAGACCGCCGCTGCCGTCATGCGACAGTCCCAGGTATATAAATTATACACGAGCACGTTAATAATATCTAATTCAGTGCGGGTATAATTTTTTTTTCAACCCTTTTGTATAATTCATTCGACTCGGAGCTGGCACGGACGGTCGTGGCGAAACCACGTCGAGTAAATATTGGCACAAGGGGTTGCGCAGTGTATACGCGACGACCTAAAACATTAATTGCCTAGTGCCTATGCGGAATATTTGTGTGTGTGCAGGAATAGAAACGAATATAATATATAGAAAAATAAACACACACGAATTAGTTAATATAAGCATACAAGCAAGTATTGGTGCACGCGCGCCCGCCGTTCTATGTAAACCGAACACAATCAATATTTATAGTTGAAAAAAAAAATTCATTGTTCTAACCGATGACTGCACGATACACCTGCGGGTATACAGAAAAAAATCGCAATAAAACCAACGATTACCAGAGTATTCGGTTGTAAATCTTTAATCTCGATTGTCGATAAGGATTAAGTTTTCATTCGTATCGTTTGCAACACATTGCACTCAATGCGTACTATAAATTTCGTATGACATAATATTATTTTTGTTTACATCCGCCCACCCAAATTCGTAACTATCGAAATATTAATAAATATTATCATTTCGAAATATCCTTTTTAGTTTCGTACGCATGGTAAACCGCAACGATAAGCGATGTGGCTTATTATAGGTGGGAAGGAAGGATTGCACCATGAAATTAAATATATATTATGACAATGACAGTATCAATAAATACATAATAATAGTGTATGTGTTATTATGTTCACGGTACATAGAACAGAATATATACGACCGTAGATTAAGTCTGGAGGATAAAGCTGTACTATGTAGCGAACCATAAATAACAAATATCCACCCGAGGATTCAATAAAATACCCTGCAATAAAAGGGTTTAAACCTAAACATGTAGGCGCAATATATTCTGATTTCGATATCTTCGGAATAATATGCGACCGAAAACGTCGTTTGCGTAGATAAAAGAAACCATTGCATAAATTTAGCGAGGACACGAGTAAGAAATAAAAGTATGCACAGTACCTATGCATGTGTTTTCGTACTATTTATTGCAGGTGCGTTCACAAGAAGGGGTTTTAGGGGTTCAATCCTTACTGAAATTCAGGAAAATTATTAAATATGTTTTTATACAGTAAAAATGGTATACTAAATATATAATTACGAAACTAAAATCCCTCCCAAAATATACTTTTCTGTACGCGCCTGATTTATAGACACATATTATTCTAGATTTATCTAATGAGCCCTGATCATGTTGTACTAAGGAATTGAAAACCATTTACGACGCGCAAGTGACATCTGGTAATGAGGGTGTACGAGGAAATAACTTTTCGCTCGAATTTATTATCGCGCAAAGGTAAGAGAGGAACAAGAAAGGAGAACGAAACCCGCGACGATACTGACGGTATACCCGGTATAAATATGCGACACGTAGGTCTGATAAGAAAGGAGGAAGAGGGATGATATCACCAGGGCCGGAATTTTCGAGAGGGCCCGAAAATTAGGGACTGCAAATTATTGAAAATTAAACACAATTAATGATAAGAATTTAATGAACACTGCAGAAAAAATTAAGATATACCCCCGGGCTCGGGTTTCTCTTTCCACGGCCCTGGCGACACGTGTAATAACCGCCGTGCCGTTTCGTGTTTCAGATTGCATAAAGTTCGGCATCAGCCGTCTCGTGGAAAAATTCAACGACGGCCATTCGGCATACGACACGTCGTACGCGAACAACAACAACAACATCACCAAGAGTCTCAACGAACCGGAGACCGATCACCGTCGCGGCGGTGACGACGATGACGAACGCGAAGCGAAGATCCGGTGCACCAGGGAGCTGGCGGCCAAGATCTGGTCGCCGTTGCGCAGCCCGTCGTCGCCGTCCACGTCATCCGAGCTGGACGTGGAGAGCAGACCGGCCACTTCGCCGGATATCGACGTGACCAAATGCACCAGCCCGCCACCGCCGCCGCCGCCACCTCAGCCCGCTGTGATGGTCGTATCCAAACCGCCTGCTCCGCCGACGATCGTACAACCGGTGAAGAACTCGGAGGCGTTCAGCGTGAGCGCGCTTCTCAAGCCGGACGCGCCCCGGTCCAGGCAACCGTTCAACCATCACCACCACCATCAGCACCAACAGCACCAACAGCACCAGCAGCACCAGCAGCAACAGCAGCAACAGCAGCAGCAGCAGCAGCAGCAGCAGCAGCAGCAGCAGTCGGTAGCAAACATGGCCGCCGAGACCATATCGGTCACCAGATCGCTGCTGTATCCGACCGTCCAGTTCCCGGACTTGATCAAGGACACCCGGAAGGAGGTGCACCTGCTGCCGTCCACGGCCAACTCGCTGCTCCAGAAACATTTCTCCGGGTTCAGCTTTCACCCGCACTTCTACTCGGCCGCCAACATGTTGAACCCGTCCGCGAGTTCGCCCGAACACGGGACCGGCGACGTGAACACCGACAACAATCACAACCTGCTCACCAGCTCGTTGTACCTGAGCCTAGGTGCCGTCCAGGCCGCGGCCGCAGCCGCCTTCGTCCACCCGTTGTCAGCCGCAGGTACGTTTCGCATTTTCGCCGTCGACCGACTCGTGTTGTTCCGTTAAAAGCGTTTTCCTAAAATCGCTTCATACGTTTCTCATCCAACTTATTCGTTTTTATGGCCGAGAACTGTGATCCGTGTCAGTTCGATTATTGTCGACAGTGCCAGATAACCCATTAGGTGGAGTAGGCTCCCGCCTTAGGGCCACACTCGTTTAAGGGACACTGTGAAAACGGAAAACTATATTTTTTTTATTTAATAATACCTGTATTTTGTTTACTAATTTACGAAACAAAAGTCATTATGAAATATAATATATATTAAGTTATAGGTGTTATATGCAGTAATAATAATAAAATTATTTTGAAAAAAATAGAAATAATATAATAATGAATTAATTTTTCTTGCAAATAAAAACTTTAATAAACATGGTTTTATTTATTTATAATAGTTGGTTATTATTAAAACTGTTTATTTTAATTATTGGATAGTAATGCTAAAGGTATATGTAAAAAATAATTTTGTAGGGCTCAAAGTTTTGATTGCCTAGGGGCCCACAAATATTTAATCTGGCACTGATTTTCGAGCCTCGGAAAAATAATCCAATAGAAACCGAACCCAAATCCATTTCCTAGTCACAACGCATATTGTTTCGACGTCCGTTATAATGACATAATGATTAGAGAATACTTTTGTTGCTGAATTATAGAGGGAAAAATATACCATTAATAGTTTTTATTTTAATTTCGTGTTCACATATACAATAGGGTTTGGTGGAAAATATTTTCTCATTTTTTTACATGTACATAGAATAAATCCCAACTGGATAACAAAATCATATTCTCCGATCGCGTTATATAAATAATAAACTTAATTATACTTTATTTCAGACGTGAAAAGTCCACCTTTCTAAACTAACATAATAATCAAACAACAATAAATAAAATATAACGTATTCCCTTTAAATAAGACCACCGCGACCATGATGTATCCTATACGATTCGATAAATACGTTTTCAACATTTTCTCAAAAATATTTTCATTTGTACAATTGCCACGAAATCCTAAATACATGTGCGATTGAATTGTACATCTTTTTTGCCGCTTTCGGCAGCACACTGATCGTACGTACAAAATTCTACGATTCTTTACGACAGTGATGTCCAACCTTTTTTCTTTGGCGGGCCACTTTGGTAAACAATTATCCTCAAGCGGGCCACTAAGTATAAAATTACAAAAATAATCTTATATATTGAACTTGTTTTCTTATCTTTTATTGTCTATTGAAAAGATTATGAATTAAGGTACACATTAGTTTGATTAGTACGTTATTTTAAGTACACGAATGATATCGATATTTAATTTTAAAGTTTGCATATGAAAATGTCAGACAGAAAAAAACGCAAATATATTGATGATTGCCAAATTTTCAATGGTCTATAAATTACTTTTTTATTGAAATTAATGGAGAGCCATTTGTCTTATGTGTCATGTAACGGTTTCAGTTTTTAAAGAATTTAATATCAAACGACATTATGAATCAAAAAATGTTCTTACATTTTTAAAAAAAAATTTTTATTTTAGAAAATTCGTAACGAGCCACATATGGCCCGCGGACCGCGGGTTGGGCACCACTGTTTTACGATATATTATTTAAGTATGGCATCGGAATAACATAAATTAGTATAAAATCAGTTATACCTTAAAAGGTATAAAATCAGTTAATGAGAATAATTAAACGTACACGAAGGTAAACAATTATATAAATATCAAGTAAATAAGCTAATCAATAACAGTATAATATACAAGTAGAATTCGGATAATATTATAAGTAGTTTTTAATAGAATATTACTTCATAGACGGACGTTCAGTTTTTCCGACCACCTAATCACATTTTCGCCTCATTATTCGGATATGTCTGGAGTCACCATTATTTTTATCGAACATTGTACAACGGTTCCGACTTAAAATTGTATATTATAACTACGTGACAATACGCATACAGGTATGACTTCACCGGCGACGAATCCTTTCCATTCGTCGAGTCAACAGACGTCCAGTGGCGTGGTATCACATCCTTCAGCCGAAGACATGATGAAATTGCGACAGCAGTTCGCACCTGGTGCCAATCAACCCCTCGCCGCCGTACCACCATCGGATCCCGGCGGCCATCTTCGCCATCATCACATGCTGATGAGGGGCTCCGTTTTTGGTGACGTATACTCGTGCATCAAATGCGACAAAATGTTCCCAACTTCACACGGTCTGGAAGTGCATTCCAGGAGGTCTCACAACGGAAAGAGGCCGTTCTCCTGCGAGCTGTGCAACAAATCGTTCGGGGCCGAGATAAGCCTAAACCAACACCGGTTAGTCGTGTCTATTCCATTTTATTATTTTATCCGGTGTTCGCGATTTTGCATTCAAAGCGTTTAATACTACTATACTATCATCGCTAAAATTATTTGTACATTTGTCTGGCGGTTACTGCATAGGTTACGGCCAATAGGGAAAAGTGGTCATGTTAAAATACGTGTCGTCGCGAATTACAAAAAAAAAAAACCTTTACAAAGCTCTATTCTAATTTGTTAGATTTGTGTGTTGTTCGCAAATTGTACGAGTTAGTATTTTAATAATAACGAGTAAAAAATAAATAAAAATAAATATTATCTAGAAGATAGTAGTAGTCTTATTTGTGTGAAGCCATTTCAACGCAATGATGATTATAATATACGCTCATCAGATAAAATAAATTTATTCCAAAATAATCTAGAATTACGGAATAATGTAACGATTAAAAAGATATTATACAAATATTAGAGTATACGAATATTTTTAATAATACGTTTGTTCATTTTTTCTTTTTTAACAATAGATGAGTTTTTAAACAGCGATTCCGTCACTATTATTACGTTAATATGACTTCGCATTGTAATTTTTAGATTTCTTTTCGGCTGTGCCGTATTTGTATACAGTGTTATGGATAATTTTTGACGTTCGGTCGCAAGCCCAAAACACTGTTAATAAAACGTACACTTATTAATAAGAATAATGCGTTTATACATGGTGATTCGTTTTTATTATGTGTTCCTTCGTTTAAATGAAATCATATAATTATTGAACTACTATCGTACGTACTTCGATTTTACTGTACTCGTGGCCGCGGTATTTTGCAGATGGCTCTGTTGTCGAAGGTCGGCGCACAACGTGGAAAAACTGTTCGAATGCAAACAGTGCGGTAAAACGTTCAAGAGGTCGTCCACTCTGTCCACGCATTTACTGATCCATTCCGACACCAGACCGTATCCATGCCAGTTTTGTGGTAAACGGTTTCACCAGAAATCAGACATGAAAAAGCATACGTACATACACACCGGTAAGCGTTTTACGAATAATAAAATAAAATGAGAGACAATGTAACGGTACTGTTAGGTATTCGTCAACGACAGCGAATGTCCGCCGATAGAGTTATCTAGTGGAATTCTTACGGTATAAGCGGCTAAATTGTCTCTGAACTAGATACTCTAAAGTTCCTAGGTTAATATCTTTAGCCCTGTTGGGGAACTCCGAGGGACCATCGATCTCGTAAAATATATATTTATCAAATGAGCAACACAAAAATGTTTTTTATTTAAAATATAGTAATTAAATATATACAATTGATTGTTGTACCAAAGTGTTGAACAATGATGATGACCGAATGGAAGGATGGCACACACGAATGTACTTGATACTGTAAAGATTTTAAGTTACTCGCGCAAGACGGTAATAAGTCAACTGATGCTATGCGCATCGTGATTGACCGTTAACGTCGTGAGCTGACTCTCCCCGCAGCATACAATAATGTATTCAATATCTGAGCTTATTTTGCTAAACAACGGAAAACCTTTAGACTTGCATAAAGGAACCGTAACAAGAGAAAGTTAGCGAGTGATGAGACAGATAACTAATATAGAGAGTTAAAGAGACAAGCAATACACTATGGATTATATAAAATGAATAAAATATGGGACGCATCACCGCGGGGGCTTGTTTTTGATGGGATAACTTTTGCCAACTAATTTGTCGAGAAAACGGAGGGTCGTTTAAAGGCCCGTCACAGTAATCCTTTTCCTTTGACAGCCATTAAAACGAGTCAATTAGATCAACAAGCCAAGACGGTAACGTTGCAATTTTCCTCTCCGCCAACGCTGCCGTCACCCATCTTCGTATTTTAACATGTTGTCGCCCCTCACGTTTTATTTTTGAAACCCACCCCTTTTCTCTCCCTCTTATTCTCTTTTCTTTATACTCGACGATATTGTAGGATTTCTGAGCCCTCGTTTACACCTATATACTCCTTCTTATCTTGCCAGTGGCTACACTACAGAGCTATAGATCAGAAACAATTATATAATGGTTGTGGACTTGGAAACAAAAATAGAACGATGTATAGAGAAACAGAGAGTTTTTTTGATAGTGGCCAAGATAAAGTTTCTTGCACGACCAACGAGATAAATTTAGCATTTCTGTTTTATATATAAAACGACATACCGAAGGGTTGATACTTATTCTGATTAATTGTTAAACTGAACGACCGTTGTTGGGACATAAGTCTTGCGGAAAAGATCGTCCGGACGCTATTAATTGTCACCCTCGGTAATTATAGTTAATTCCTCTTAATATGAACACCGTTCTCTTGCTTTTCGCCACAGTACTACCCCTTATCCAGGTAAATTATCCGCTAATTACTCGTTAAGGATCCAGCATTTATCAACAATCAGTTTTAATTTTAGTTGGGTAGGTTTATTACTGCTGCAGCTATGATGTTTTCGAGCAGGACCAGTTTGGTTTTTTTTTTTTATAATATTTTTCATCAGGCAGTTAATTGTTGTTAGAGTGGTTACATATATGTGCGTTGGCATTATTACATTATTACAGTCGGTTTTTAATGTACTCGCTGGAACGTAATTAAAAAAAAATTTAAATGAAAATGTATAACACAATCATTTTCATATGATAAAACCTGAAACTTTGATAATGTCTATGTAAAAATAATAATAATAAATTAATAACAGCATCAAATTGCATTTTTACTTATTATTTTATACCACGTTACAATGCATACTATAATATTTTGTCTTTTACATTCCATTCATTAGAAAAGATTTCAAATAGTTTTTAAAAAAATTAACGGACTCTCGTTTTTTGACAGCCGAATTGCAACTGTGTGCCACGATTTCTTTGATGTTATATCGTACATATTATCTTTTTAAAACAAATCGCAAAAGGACGTAGTACATGAATTCCTATGTATTTCACTTGAAATAAAAATAAATGTACAATATTTTACTTTTTAAATGGTCAGGCTTCTCCTCTACGCACCTCCCCGTATAAACACCGTGCTTACATTGTTCATAATGAAACAATAACCATATACTACACGTGTATACAGTGTATTTTATCGTACAGTACAATTATTATATTTTTTTCATGTACATTTTTAAAAGAAATTATTTATCAATAGCCATTATTTAAAAAAAATCGTATATAATATGTTAGTTATCATGTTGCACGCAATATTGTTCGCCATAAATACGATGGTATATAATATTTATTTATAATTTATTACGTTTATTAATAATACAAATTATGTGTTCTTATTAAAATTTAAGTAAATATTTTAATAATCAATAAAAAAAAAAATCTTTTTTAAATAATTCGTTTATTTCAATAGTTTAAATTATATTTGTTCTTCTTTGAACACAGATAAATATTACATATACCCGTACATTTTATCGTACAGACTCATGTGGAATTGATACTATAACTCGTATCTATCGACTCAGGTTTAGCATTAATATTCATTTTAAGTATAAACATATATTTTCTGTCTGTATACATGTTTTGAAAGCATGTTAATGACGGATGTATAAATATCTAGATTAATAATTACAAACATTCAATTATAAACATGAACAATTATAACGCTTTGCGTATACAATATATTATTTCCGTATATCTACACCGCATGTTTATAATACGACATTTTAAAATAAATAAAAATGTTCGAACCAAAAATACAGAAGTAACTAAACAAATGAACTTTATTTAATGACCTAAGGCTGTAAGTGAATACTGTATATTGAAGACCATAGATTTTCCCGCTCAAAAAGTAATTTATTAATTTAATGTTCAAAAGAATATGTATAGTTTTTTTTATATTATTATTCGAGTGTTCGCATTTTACTGTCACAAGGTTTCTCTTTACACATCCAATTAAAACGAGAGAGAAAAAAATGCTAGAATTAAAAAAATATACACTTAGGGGAACAAGAAAAAAAAAATAAAAGAAATTAAACAAGAGGGAAAATCTCCGGTAATTTCGAAAAAAAACCTCTCCCTCACTTGACCGACCTGTGTTCAGAGTGGAATTTTTTTCTTTTTAATTTCCCGAAAGTGGGTGCTTATAGAAATTCAGTTGATTAAAAAAATTAATTGAGAAAAGTGAAAATTTGTTTTTCAGTCACGAGAAAAAAAAAACTGGTTTTAAATGTGTCTATCGAGGAAATGTGTTCGAATACTCGAGTTCATTATATAATGTGAAAATTATCAGCAAAATTGATTGATCAGTTTTTATATATAATACGTATGTCGATAAAAGTTACACGAGATTTCATCTACTTTCCATATATACTTAAGTATATATATATAAATATTGTCACTTACAATCCAAACCAATTGCGATTACTTTTTGAAAAAACAAATTGTGTTTTAATGTACTATTAATCTTCTTAATTTATTTTTATCGAGTTAAGTATACTTGCTGAGAGTAATTCACGTGTAATTGATTCTATATCGGGCGAACAAATACACACTCGCACGTACATGCTGTTTTATTATATACATATATACCATACACATGCACACTTATCGTGTGCGTGTAGTCGATGAAGTGTAATACATTCACTCTTTATTGTCGTCTACAAGACGAATTATTTCGTAATTTTATAAAACAATGAAAATTCTAATACAGTATACAATCATATATATGAGGTAGGTTAAACTGTTAATGTTCAAACTAATGCACCAAAAAATAAAAAAGTATTAAAAATATCGAAAAATCGAAAATAGATATATTAATATAAAATATAAAAATGATAAAAATGGAGTTTAAAATACTAAATTTCCTTAATTTGAGTACACATAAAATCGTATGCCTACCATGCAGGTTTAAATATTAACCATTGATATAGTGACCTAGTAACTTAAAAAATTGTTACCAATGGGTACTACTTTTTGAATGAAACTACACGGTATGGATAGCAAATATATTTTATTTAATATTTAAGATTAACAGGTTTACCTATCTACGAGATAAATATCTATCAATATATATATATAAATCTTATTATTATCTATCTACTCGTATTTTATAATTGTTGATATTCTTATAAAAATAAATTAAATTCGTATTAGTCAGTAGTCCTGAATATACATATATAAATATATACGATTATATGTGTATAATACACCCATATCTCGTGCGGTAAAAGTATTTAATGGCAGTTTTAAGTATTAAGGAAGAAGGGTGGTTTAGAAGAAAAGTCAACATCTCCTGTAATCGGAGTTGTTATACTACCACTAATACTACTAAAAACTGGTGTACATAAATACTGGTATAGTAACGTGTCGGCGTGCACCAGCGCCACGGGTGAAGTTTATTCACCGGGATTATCGTGGGGATCACAACCGCTGCCGACACGACGTTTATCGCCAGTTTTTATCGATAACACAAAATGCTCGTCGTGTGTACGTGCGTTAATAGTTATCCGCAATTTACACTGACGATTATTACATCAGTTTTTAAAAAAACCAGATACCAGGGTTATCGTACTTAATTTGCGGCACACGTCTCCGAGAACCGTCAATCGATAAACGCGGCAGGATACGAGATGGAACTTGATCGAGAAAGAAAAAAATTAAATAGCAATTACGAAGAGGAAAATATATATTATTAGAACATTTCGAATCAATCAAGAACGTGGTACTATCTTAATGTTATTAGGTGTTGTATTAGGTGATTCTAGTATGTTGACCAAAAGATGAATGACGTACACGTCGCGGGGACGATGTTGTTTGGATGATAACAGTGTTGAGCTAATGCAGTTGGATGGGCGAGACGAACGAGGTGTGGAAGAAAGAAAAAACAATTGTGTTTTAATCGAAAATCAAGTGGGTGTATATGATGTTTGCGTTGAGATCTAATGAAAATGTTTCCGCGCGGCGACGACAGCAGTGGTGTGCAGCAGACAATATAGTAGATAATTTAAGTACGTACAAAACAAGGAAAGTTGTGATAAACTTCACTAGACACACTCACATCACGCCCTGACA